TCGTTTAGTTTTCGTTTAGTTTACTTTTAGTTACTCTACTCTACTCTACTCTACTCTACTCTACTCTACTCTACTCTACTCTACTCTACTCCACTCCACTCCACTCCACTCCACCCTCTATTCTACTCTCCTTTACTTTAATTTCCTCTACTCTACTCCACTCCTCTATTCTACTTTCCTTTGCTTTATTTACGCTACTCTCTTTTTCTTTATTTTACTTCATTTTCCCCTACTCCACTCTCCTTTCCTTCATTGTCACTGCACCTCGTACAACGAAATTAAATGCCCTCTTCAGTGTACATTAGAACTATCAAAACACAAACACACCTCCTTCACGTTCAATCCATAATTGAAACTGAAAACTCCTGATATTGCATTAATATTGCACTGTGCCGTGGAATTCAATGTTGTTGCTGCCCCTGGGAGAGAAGCTGTTTTTCAGCCTGTTTGTCCTGGTTTTTATTCTCCTGTACCGGCTGCCAGAGGGTAATAGTTCAAAAAAAAAAAAAGGATGCCCAGGATGAGATGGGTTTTTAAGGATGTTTTGAACTTTCTTAAGGCACGGGGGGCTATAAAGATCTTCCAAAGAGGGGAGGGGGCAACCCATGACCTTCTGGGCCATGACTTCGACCCTCTGGAGCACTGTCCTATCTGCCACGGTGCAATTGGCAAACCAGACACAGGGGCATTAGTTAAAATACTCTCTTTGGTGCAGCGGTAGAAGGTCACCAGCCGTTTTCCCTTCAGTTGTTGCTTCCTGAGAAGTCTCAGGGAGTATAATCCCTGCTGGGCCCTTCTGACCAGTGTTGCAATGTGAATTACCCCAGATCAGGTCATCTTTTTATGACGACATCGAGAAACTTAAAACTGGCCACTTGCTCCCTTGATAAGCAAGGGCTGGATATCTGATCTATTCCTTCGACAGACGGCTATAAACTCCTTGGTCTTGTTGATGTGAAGGACCAAATTGTGGTCTCCAAACCACGAAACCGTCCCACTTCATCTTGATAGGCAGACTCAGCCCCCCCCCCACCCCCGGATATGAGTCCCACCGCTGTTGTATCATCTGCAAATTTAGTAATAGTTTTACTAGCGTGAGTGGGAATGCAGTCGTGCACATGAAAAGCATAGAGTTAAGAGACTTTCTTTTTGAGCGGTGCCATTAAATTCGGCTCCGGTTAGATGTGATCTGGAGCACGGCCGTTCTCGGGTGGAGAGAAGAAGCCGGCGGAGGCGAGATTTAAAAAAGGATTTTGGGGAAACGTAGTGCACAATGAGATCCAGGAGCATGGAGGGTTTGCCTTCACTGTGGTTTGGTGTGTTATGCGATATCTCGGGCCGCCATGATAAGGCTTTGAATGGGGGTTTGCTAATTAGGGCATTTTAGACTCTAGAAAGCTGGACAAAACTTAACCAGAGGTGGATTAAAGAAAAAGTGGGTTTGTTGGATGTTGAAGTCACACAGTGACGTTTCATCGTAGCTTAATCCTGGCTTAACATGAAGGGTGAGCATAGCCAGAACTGGTCACCCCGCGAAGATACTGCAATCTTTCTTCCTTCAAGCCACAAATCCTAGTTTTGATTTCCTTGCATCAGGCAAAGAGGGGTGTCGGTAGTTCTCGACTTGCGACCACTTTAGCGACGATTCAAAGTTATGTTAGCCGGTTAAATGTGTACAAGGGTAATCCTCGGCTTACGACCACAAGGGAAGTTTCCTCTGTTATGGAATGCGGTCGTTACAGTGAATTCCGCCCCATTTTACCACCTTTCTCGTCGCCCTTGTTAAGTGAATCCCTGCCAGGTGTGAAGTTGGTCATGTGGTCGTTAAGTGAAACTGGTTTTCCCCATTGACCCGAAGGCCGCAAAAGGGGATCGCGGGATCGCCGGGACGCTACGACTCGTCGTAAATACGAGTCAATGGCCAAACGTCTGAATTTTGATTACGCGGCCACGGGAAGAGTGCAACCATCATCCGTGGGAAGTCACCTTTTCAGTGTCATTGTAGTTTCGAACGGTCACAGGTCAAGGACGACCATCTATATGACCTCTAGGAACCCCATCCCCCCTTTTTTTAAAAAAAGATCCCTTTTTCTCTTCTACAGTCTCCCTAGGCGGATATGCACTCTGGAAAGACCCCGAGCCTTCGGTGGCCGAGCCGCCATCTTTCCAGATGCCGCTGGACATGACCATCCGCAACTCCGTCTACGCGGCGGCTCAGCCCCACGGCGCCGCCCACGTCTCCAGCGGGGCACGGCAGGAAAACGAGTCCGACTTCGCGCACTCCAAAATCAAGGTGAGGACCGGACCGGCGGCTTTGTAAACCTCCGTTGATTCCAGATTGACGACGAGTTGGGAAAGGACCTTGGAGGTCATCTAGTCCAACCCCTCCTCCCCTCCCACGGCCCAAGCGGGAGACCCTACATCATTTCTCACACTTCCTGAGGGTTTCGAAAGGGAGGTTGCACGTCTTAGAAAAAACAAATAACGATAATGAGAGGGGTGTGATTGTCTGGAAGCAGCTCCTAGGCTGGGCTTGATTAAATCAGAGGCGGGGTACAGATCAAGGGAAGGAAGTTAGTCATAGGGAAAAAATGGCTTCGGGGACCTGGGATGCCCCGGCGACGGTTGTGGGCGCGCTCACAAAATGGCAGGCACGTGCCGAAGATTGCTAGTTTCTGGCCGCCCTCATTTATTGGCTAAGAAATGCCTCAGATGAGAAAGGGAGGGACGGATTTTTGTTTTCTGCTCGGAGGGACTGTTATGTTTTCCTTTCTTTTATTTGTAATTAGCCGATAACCCGCAACCAATCTCCCTTACCAGAGGGAGCCCCCTTGTGGAGTACTGTGAAGCCGTAACCGTGGCAACTCCACTTGGCTGTACAGTAGAAGCCATTTTAAGGCACAAGAGGCTGTAGCTTAACAGAACTTGAATCCAAAAGGCACACAATCACTCTCAAAAGCACTGTGATTTGACGCTATAGATATAATTCTTTCCTTTACATTTCAGCGGCCCAGGCGTTCCAGAGTTATGCTGGAACACACACACACACAGACACACACCTCCCGACACACAGACCCCGAAGGGTGTTAGGGGTGTCTTACCCCCACAGTATTTTTTTCCAGAGAGTAAGATGGGAGGAAATGCTTACAAGGAGTTTTACAAACCATTGATGCAAAGTTACAATGACAGTGAAAAACACTGGCTTAGGACCAGTCCTCACACTTATGACTGGTCACAAAAGGGGATCATATGAGCCCGGGACAGTGCAACCATCATAAATATGAGTCTGTTGCCAAGCATCCGAATTTTGATCCTGGGACTGCGAGGATGCTGCAACAGTTGTAAGGGTGAAAAACGGTCATATTTTTTTTCAGTGCCGTTAAAACTTTGAACGGTCACTAAATGAACTGTTGCAAGTCGAGGACTTATTTAGACGTTGGATGGGATATTTCTAACGAGAGTTCTGATGACCGCAGTTTCAAAATGAGGATTGGGAGGGGGGGTGTCTCCCTTTTGGAAATCCCACCCATTAAAAATGCCATCGGGGGTTTGGAAATGCCAAACTAGATAGGGCAGTGCCCAAATCTTTCTGACTACTGGCAATCAGGAGGACTAGAACCTTAGCTTCGCTCTGATTGGCGAGGACCATATCTCAGGGGGGGGGGGGAAGTGGCGGGTTAGGGCAGTGGCCGGTCCGAGCGGAGCATCAAACCGAACCGCTTTCTTTGACCTCCCGCAGGTGAGCCCGGCCGACGGTCCCGTCGAGCAGTTTTCCTGTCCGTTTTGCCAAAAAGCTTTCTCCTACCAGCGGATGCTCAACCGTCACCTCAAGTGCCACAGCGAGATCAAACGTCACCTCTGTCCCTACTGCAACAAAGGGTTTAACGACACGTTTGACCTCAAGCGACACGTTCGGACGCACACAGGTGAGCTGACGCGGAGGGTGTGTGCGGCGGTGGCTGGCGCCGTCACCGGTTCCCACGTGGCTGAGATTGATCCGAGAACCGGTGCCAGGAATGGCTTTTGGGATCCGGGCGGGGATTCATCAATATCCTTTAACAACCCCATAATCCCTTGGGGTGGTGTCTGGGCAACTGAATGGAGATGTTTTACTGGCCGGATGCCTTTACCTGTTGCCGATGTGGAGTTTTATTCAGTAGATATATTCTCATTGTGCCCAGAGAGAGAAATATCAGCCTCTACCTAGGCTCGAACTGATTGATCGAGCTTCCTGATTGTGAGGCGAGAGGTCTACCTCTAGGCCACTGCACCTCGAGTTCCAGCTGGGGATGATAGTCCCATAAAAAGACGGGTCCATAACTCTGGGTCTTTCTTAGACCCAGATCTATGGATATATAGGGGAGGGGGAGATTGTGGTTAGAGGCAGTGCTCCCAGCTCTCCCTGGTGTACAATGCCAAAACAACAGTTGCGAACACCAAGGATGTCTCCCCCCCAAAAGGAGAAAAGGTGGTTGTGCCCGCACAATCAATCCTCCATTCTACGGTAGCCCTTGACTTATAACCACAACTGAGCCAAAATTTCTGTTGCTAAGCAAGACGGTTTCCTCGTGTGTCAACTTCCTTGTGTGTGTCCACTTTGCCAATAAAGAATTATATTCTATTCTCTATATTCTGTTCTTGTTCTTGTTCTTGTTCTTTTGTTCTTGTTCTTCTTGTTCTTCTTGTATTTCTGAATGTTCTGTTCTTGTTCTGATTCTATCATATCCTATTTTCTCATCTACTCTACCCTACCCTACCCTATTCTACCCTACTCTATTCTATTTTCTATCCTATCCTATTTTCTCTACTCTACTTTCTATCCTATCCAATCCTATTTTCTCTTCTACTCTACCCTACCCTACTCTACTCAACCCTACTCTACTCTGTTTTCTATCCTATCCTATTTTCTCTACTCTACTTTCTATCCTACTCTATTTTCTATCCTATCCTATTTTCTCTATTCAACTCTACCCTACTCTATTTTCTATCCTATCCTATCCTATTTTCTCTACTCTACTTTCTATCCTATCCAATCCTATTTTCTCTTCTACTCTACCCTACCCTACTCTACTCAACCCTACTCTACTCTGTTTTCTATCCTATCCTATTTTCTCTACTCTACTCTACCCTACTCTATTTTCTATCCTATCCTATCCTATTTTCTCTACTCTACTTTCTATCCTATCCAATCCTATTTTCTCTTCTACTCTACCCTACCCTACTCTACTCAACCCTACTCTACTCTGTTTTCTATCCTATCCTATTTTCTCTACTCTACTCTACCCTACTCTATTTTCTATCCTATCCTATCCTATTTTCTCTACTCTACTCTACCCTACTCTATTTTCTATCCTATCCTATCCTATTTT